TCTCTAAACAAATGCATATGACTTTCATCATCTAAATTACACCTAGTGCAAATAGAATTAAAGTCACAAATATTTCTAGCTAGAACCGTAGCTACGGGGAGAATTTGGTCGGCAATGTTCCACACAAGCATCTTGTACTTATAAGGGATTTGGAGGTGCCAAATAAGTTTCCACTTGATCGAAGGAAAAGAGAGATGACTATTAAAGTTACTAGCAAGTTGATAAGCACTACAGATTGAAATCGACCATTTATCTCCTTACCTCAACAAATAGTGTCCTCTAAATCAACCACCATCAGGAGGGGAATATTTTCAATTAAAGTACATAAATACTCCGGTATAATATGCTTAATCCTATTAGTATTTCATTGGTCATTAGAGATAATGTTATTAACAGCCCAATGGGCAATGGAATCCGGAATAAGGGTATCGATAAGAAGATAAACATGTTTTTCCCCCACCCAGCAGTGATGCCATAAACAAACATCTCTACTATTCTCAATCCTCTAAGAACTTCCTCTCAACAAGAGTTTTATACCTTTCATAATATCTTTCCAAAGGGGGGAGTCGCTAGGGTTAGCATTGGAGAAGCAGTTTAAAAAGGTGGATCACTTGAAATACCCAGCTTTAAGAATTCTAACTCAATGTTTATCCGGATTATGAATAATCTTCCAAGCTACTTTAGCCATAAAAGCCAAGTTCCATAACCTAAGATTTCGCATTCCAAGGCCCCCCAAACCCAAGGGAAGAAAAAATTTCTCCCAACTAGTTCTCGGTAATTAATGAGATCTATCAACCTTATTTCATAAGAATCTCCTACAACTTTTCTCAAGATTATTGACAACAGAAATAGGAAGAAGGGTGGTTTGCATGGAATATAAGGGAAAAGAGTTGAGGACCGACTTGATTAAAGTACATCTCCCGGCCATATTAAGAAGCTTAGCTTGCCACCCTTTTATCCTATTTTTAGTCTTAAATAAGAGTTCATAGTACTCGGGTTTCCTAAGTCTATTAGGACTAATTTCGACACCCAAATATTTCCAAAGGAAGGAGCTCCCTTAATATTAGAGGCATCTAGGATGGCTAATTTAAGGGACATACTCACTTTTTGGGGAAAATAACCTTACACTTAGCTTGACTAATGTAAAGGCCGAACTTAGATAAAAAATCAAGGAGGGTATCCTTGATTACCTCAACATTGTCAACGTAATTTTTAGCAAAGAGAAACACATCACCGACATAAAAAAAAGATGGGAAATGCTAATATCGTCACCAATTTTAATAGGCTTTTAATTACCATTTCCAACTTGATTTTTAACCATTAGGGAAAGTCTTTCAATGCATAAAACAAAAATGTAAGAAACAACTGTATCATTGTGATTAATGGAAAACGGAGGGAGTAGTTTATTAAACTCCTTAAATTACATTCAATTTCAACTCTAGTTTTGGAGAAAGAAGAAGAAGAAAAAAAAAGGGAGTAAACATAGCTTCTCTTGAAAGCTAGTGCTAAAAGCCTAGAACCCAATTTCTCAAAGAAGATAAAAAGCAAAGCTCTCCAAGTAATCAGAAATTTTGCTTGGTATGGAGTGTTATCCAGTAAAAAAAATTCATCCAATCAAAATTTTTAAACTTCACTCCCATTTCTACGCTCAATTCTTCGTAAAGCTGACTAATTGCAGTTATTTGCTTATGTTTAGTTTTTAAAGATATTTTTAACTTTCGTTTTTTTTTCTTTTTGCTATCAATCATTTGTTATTATTCATGTTTAATTTTGTGTATGAACAATGTTTATAAATTAATTGCTAATTGGTGATTTCATGCCGAAATTATTTTTTAAGAAAATAAACCCTAACCCCATTTTTAATTTGTTGGTTGATTATTCGATGAAATGACAGTAACAATTAATCTTATTTTTTAACAATTTCAGTTCAAGATAAAGTAATTTGTGTTCTTCTTTGTTAATTATATAAAGGTTTATTTTTAAATTACCACCCAAAAATGTAACCATTTTCGAACTAACCATCCGTTTAATTTTTTATTTTAAATTACCACCCCTTAAATTAAATAAATGCTCAGATTACTACCCATTTCAAAAATCCGGTAGATTTTCCGTCTGTAGGCCCCACCTAACACTTATTTAAACCATTTTGATTTATTTTTTCCCTGATTTTTCTCTTTAAAAACGCTCTATATACTTTATTTCACATTTCCATCTCCAAATTCAACCAAATTTCAAAGAGAAAAAATGTGAATTGAAGTTAGGAGAGCTTTTTTAAAGAGAAAAAACGGGAAAAAGTCAGTAAAAAGGGTCAAATAAGTGATAGGTGGGGCCCACAAACGAAAAATCCACCAGATTTTGGAAATGAGTGGTAATCTAAACATTTATTTAATTTAACAGGTGGTAATTTAAAATAAAAAATTTAATGGGTGGTTAGTTCAAAAATGGTTACATTTTTGGGTGATAATTTAAAAATTCCTTACATAAATGGTACTCGTATTAATATTATGAGGTAGATTTGCTTTTTTTTTTTTATCCTTAATTCGTTATGTTAATTTGCTAATTTATTTGGAATTTACTTTTCTCCAAAATTTGGATTTGGATTACAGATTTATAGAATCATTGTTCTGAATTATTGGGATTTAATTGCTTCTCATTTTATGCAAGGTTTGTATTAATGGGGTCTGAACATAACTTAACTTGCAAATTCAGTGATTTATTTTGCTGCTTGAATATGGATGATAAGGAAACAAGTTGTATTGATCGAATATCCGAAGTACTTGAATTCATTTTTCATCATATGTTATCTTATCTTTCAACAAAACAGGCTGCTCAAATGGGTGTTGTATCCAAGAGATAGCAATGTTGTAACACCCCGTCTAGAACATAAGGCATGACGTTAGCGGAAAAAAACGTCGAGACGGAAATGTCACTCTAAAGGTTACCCAAAAGAAATAAAGACAATGATTAAAATATCTGAGACAAATAAAGTAAAGTGTAAGAAATCCCATATAAACAATAAACACTTCCAATGAGGGAAAACAATCCTCAAATCTGAAAATCCCAAAAGAGAATGTCTAAAGACAACTAAAGCAAGTCTATAACACTGCTAAGAAATAATGTAAATGCTCTGCTCTCAGCCCAGACTCAACAGGAACTACTCTTCACCTGCAAATAACATTAAGGTTCCACAATCAGTGGGGAGTAACTAGCAGTTCTCCCAGTACTTGTAGAAATACAAAGCTAAGTACAGAAAAGCTTAGACACCAGCACAAAACTTAACAACATGTAGGAACAACAACTAAATTAATAATTACCAGTTAAACTCGTGGAAAAGATAAAACATGGAGTCATGATTATAATACAGATCAAGCATGTGAATAGAACAACGTAAAAAAAAAATATTACCACAAGAATTCGGAATAAATATAGCAACTCCAAACAAATGGTAACTCATACAAACGATAATTAACCCTTATAAAGTTTCCCTTCCCAAATCAATAGTATCTTTAAAATAAATAAATTTTAATTTTTTTTGAAAATAAGATTTATTGTGAGGCAAGCATATAAAATATGAACGCCGGTGAAATCCGCAGCCCACCATCAAAGGTTTGTCAGGGCGAACCTACAGACGATTCCGCAGCCGTCTGCGTCTGAGAATGGCCAAACTCCCAGTTTTCCTACTCGAATTCCGCAGCCCGAGTAGTTCCGGACGACAACAATTAACCTAGAAAATTACACCTCGAATTCCGCAGCCCAAGATGTGGGCATGTTCCAATCATTGAATTCCGCAGCCCAATGGTTGTCTTACACTCACAAAAATATATGAAATTTATAAACATACTTCTTAAAAATCATTTAAAACACATTTAGGGATCATCAACCCCAATTTAAAGTACCGCAGGTCTTTACTTCTAAGACCAAAATTCAATAAAAATCCTTCAAAAGAGTTTAACTTCAAAATTCTTCAAAATATAAAATAACCCATATATCATACTAAGATGTCACTCTTATTGTTAGAATTTGGGTACGAAGCTAATTATAACAAAATATCACAATACATTCGGACACAACCCTTGGCGAAGCGGTGCTAAAAACAGTGTTATTCTACTTTAAAGCACAACGACGTCGACAACTTATTTGACACTTTAAAACCATGTTTTTTAAAAAACTCTATAAACACTCATAATTTAAATTAACATTAATCCTTGGTCACAATTTCCATCATTATACCGACTCATTAAAATATGTAGTAAGTTATCCAACACTATACAACAAAATAAAATATAGAATCATATAAATACAATAAAAATTAATTACTCATAATGTAATTTTAACACTACAATCAATCAACTAAACATGAAAGATTTCCTTAATATATTGAACTACCAGCCTTCGGCCACCATCAAGCATGACAACTGTTAAAATATTTAGCTCAATTATAACCACCTATGATTACACCACTAGCTAAACATGAAATTAATCAATCTAAGCATGAAACACTTAGCCAAAGGATCATAATAAATTGTACAAACTTGCAACAGTAACAATAATACATCATGGAGCAAATTAGTTTAGCCTTAGGTGAATAAAATAGAGCATGATTAACAATAAACTAGTTTAAGATAAACAATGTATGCTTTGGGAATCTAAACATGTAAACAAGGCTACAAAAATCCACTTGAAATTGACTAGTAGCTCACTCACAAACCAACAAGAATGGCAACATACATTCATACCGAAGTTCATACATAATTCATGCTCAACCGAAGGAACTAACAACAGGATCTCAACCCAACACTACAAAAATTAGGCTTTTTAGCTATGGAAATATAGCGACAATTTTGATTCCGTTTCTAATATAGAGACGGATTATAAAAATCCGTCACTAAATAAAGTCAGCGACGGAAATATTTTATCCGCCGATAACTTTAGCGACAGATTAAAATATTCCGTTGCTAAGCAGCGACAGAAAAATGTAATCCGTCCCTTAGTTTATTTTTTTTGTTTTAAAAAAATTTGGAGAATAGGTAATCTAGAGGTTTCTTAAAAAAAAGTCAGCAACTTTTATTTCTTGAAAATTTCGAGTATTCGCGCTGAACATTTCATTAACCCGCCTTAAAATTTTTCCCCTCTTTTCTCTGTAAACCCCAAAAACAAAGTTCTCACTCCACTTTGCTAACTCCTCTTTTCTCTTGACGGTGACGGCGAAGGTGAAGACGATGGTGAAGACGGCCAACGACAACTCCTAAGGACCTGTCGAACAGTCCAAGGTATGTAGATCTATCAATTGATTTTAGGGTTTTATTAATTTATAAATGGTATTTTGGTTTAACATGTTATTGTTTGGGAATTTGGCATTTGAGTTGAAATTATCGCCATTGATGAGTTTTATTTGAGTTATTGGAGTTGAAACTTTTGCATGTGCTTTTTGAATTTTTATGGCATGTGCTTTATTTGAGTTCTTGGTTGAATTACAATTGATTATACAGAGATATGAAGATCTACTACTTAAGTGTGTATATTTATATTGTTAATTACAATTTGGTTGAATTTTGTTTGTCTTACTGCTTACTTAGCTTATCCCCTTTTTTCCTTTTTTTTTTTTTGGAATTTTGAGCTCGTTGTATTGCTCAGGGATATGGAAACTAGATATAATCAGATATTAATTCTTTCTTATGATATTCTAGAAATTGGGTAAGTTGTTACGAATATCAGCAAAACTTGACAGGAAGGGAGTACTTCATTAGGTCCCTTAAATCCAGCTTGAAATGAGTAGTTGGCAATTTGGATTGTAGTTGATTATATATATTAATTAGTGCACACATACTGTCATAGTTTGAAATTAGGTGAGGATTGATAAGTTTAATAACACATTTACGTACTCTTGAATAGTTCACTGAATAAGTTCAAGAAGGGTGCCAACATTTACTCTTTTCCATTGAAGTTAAATATAATTATATGTCTTTAGTGAATTAGTGCTATAAATTTATCTTTGTTACATAACTGTGAGCTAAATGATAAATCTATCAATTTAAGATAATTGCTAGCTACTTTCAAATCAGATTATAAGGCTATTAATTTTAAATATTTATAATTATTGGTCTATGTGTTGATTTTTAGTGGGGATATAGTGAAATTTGTGGTATTGCTAAAGATGCCCCCCTTGTTTATCTTAATTTGAGTTGGTGACTGAAGTATGCTTTCTAATCTTGTATGTAGGTTGTTTGTTGGGCTCATCATTGTTTATAACTTAGTTTAATATACATATATTATTGTTGGTTTTTATATGAAGTATTTGATTCAACTAGCTATAGGATTAAAGTTGACTTAAGTTTTAAATTTAGCTAAAGTCAAATTTGTTACATGTAAAAGTAGTTTAATTTTTTCCCTTATTTAATTAAAATATAATTAAATGAAGATATGTATTATGTGTACTTCGTTTGTTGAGTAAGTGCTGCTTATGAAGTGTGCACACCATCTTTTTATTTGTTTGTTTTTTCTGGTTTTTGTTTAGAATAATTTGGGTAGTGTTTATTAATACTAAAATTATATTTAAGGTTCCGAATACATAGTGAGCTTATCGGAAGGATGCAAAGGGCAATGGTAGATCGTCAATGGATGTATGAAAGGGTTAATGGAAAATTTTTTAGTTCAACCTATGCAAAAAAAGTCGACGAATTTATTGAATTTGCTAGTACGCAAGACAATGTCATGATTGATGGACTATTAAAATGTCCATGTGCAAAATGTCGTAATGTTCCATATTTGAATCCGGATGATGTAAAGTTCCATCTCTACCAAAATGGGTTTCGACCTAATTACCACAAATGGACTTTTCATGGAGAAGATGACTTTGACAATAAAAGTCCAGAATGTGGTTACACTTCAATCGGTGATACATCAAACCCATATAAAAGCATGGTTTTAGATGCATTCGAATCTAATTACCATTTGGAATATGCATTAGAAGGATCATCTGATAGGGAAGAACCAAATCCCGAGTTCAAGAAGTTCTTTGACATGCTCAAAGCTGATGAGAAGCCTTTATATGATGGCTGTAAGTTGTCTTTGTTGTCCGTTGCTGCGAGGATAACTAATTTGAAATGCGAGTACAACATGCCACATAAAGCCATTGATTGTGTCGCTTCATTGATCAAGGATATCTGTCCAGAAATTAATAACATGACAGATTCTTTTTATAAGACCCGAAAATTACTTGATGGGCTAGAGCTACCTCACCATAAGATAGATGTATGTCCTAATGGGTGTATGTTGTTTTGGAAGGAGAATAGTGATCTTGAAAAATGTCGTGTTTGTAAAGTAAATCGCTACAAGACATCAAGATCAAAAGTAAAAAAAAGTCCTAGAAAAGTGTTATACTACCTGCCCATTGCTCCGAGGTTACAAAGGTTATATGCAACAAAGTCTACAGCGGAAAAGTGTTATATCAAGTGTATTTTGCACCAAACCCAACTGTGAAAAAAGAGAGGAATCCATGGCTACATGTCTTTTATGTCAAACCTCGAGGTACCATTGATGCCCCATTAGATGAGTTGGCATTTCAAGAAATGGACAATCAAAATCCTCCATCACTTTCGGAAATAGTCCAAGATGAGGTTGATGAGGCTGAGCAAGAAGGAGAAGGAGAAGAGGAAAGAGAAGAAGAGGAGGAGGAGGAGGAGGAGGAAGAGGAAGAAGAAATAGAAGAAGAAGAAGAAGAGTATACTGATGGTGAAGATGACGATGATGAAGATGCTGAAATTTAAGCCAGCCAACTCCAAACCTAAAAATTAAACTAAATATTTTGGTGTACTTGCTGATGTGTTTATTTATTTAAAATTATGTGGATTGATATCTAGTTTTATTTATTATTATTCATATTACTTTTACTGTCTATTTGTAATTTTAATTAGTTGTTATTATGAATGTTTATTTATATATCTAACATGCAGATGTCGTATAGACGTAGAGGTGGCCTGAATGGGAGAGGTGCGATCATTCGATCTCCAGGCTATCGAAATAGTCCTCACATTACCAGTGAAGCGATGATTCATGAGATACCTTCTAAAGCTGCACCTCATATAACTCCAAGTACCCTGCCCCACACAACACTGAGTACACCAAATCAAATGCCTAACATTCAAGCTGCTCCACAAACACCTGTGACCAATGTAGCAGCAACAATTTCACACCAAGATGAGGTGCCTAATTCTACAACTGAAGCAACAGTTCACCAGGAGCCCCAAACAACCCAAGTTGATTCAATGCCTAATACAAGTGTATCTGATGAGACTGGTAACCCTGAAAAAATTGATTCAGTCCTGCATCCTAATGGTTTATGGTGAGTAGCATTAACTGTAAACAGAAAAAAATCTATAGCTTGATTTTTTAAATTTTTTTTTATTATGCATATGTGATTATATTGATAATTCCAACTTTAATAGGTTTGCCCATCGTGAGGTGACTGATATTGTTTCCGAGACATCATATAAGGCGTACTTTAAGGGACCATATTGCAATTGGGCTATGACTCCATTAGAAGCTCGACGGAGATGGTGGAATGCTTTCAAGGTTTGTCTTTTGTAAGATTGATGTTTTAGGTTATATTTGTTTAGTGTATCAGATAGTAGTTGCAAACTTGCTGAAGTAGTTTTGATTGTCATTTAATATAGACAAATTAATAGCCTTTTTGCTTGATCTTTTATATTTAACCTCAGCAAGAGTTCTCATGGGACCCATCAATAGCTAAGGAAGTTAAGAAGGGTTGGAAATCAAAATGTAGTAGGCGTATTAGTGATATGGTGTCGAAGGTTTGCACGGATCCTAAGTATAATGCTGACTGGTGCCCTCCTACCATAAGGGAGGAGATGATTCAAATTAGAAAAAGAAAGGAATTCCAAGAAAAATCAAAGCAATGCTCAAAAAACCGAATGGGCAATGGAACCCAAAAAATTCACCATCGACAAGGGTCTATATCTACTGAAGAAGAGCGGCTGAAATTGGTAATGACTTCTAAACACCTGAAATTTCAATATATTGTTAAAATATGATACAATCCTAAACTTGTGAAAGCACGAGCTTGATAGTAATGGTTGTCCATAGTGAACATATTTCTGTAGAAATTCATGTAATAAACCTGAGGTTGCTTTATTATATTATTCCTACAAGTTTACGTATTCTGACATATAATGACCCACTAATACTTTCTCTTGTTTTTCTTGTTTAGTAGTCACTTCCATTTCTTCCTTGCAAGGTGAATTTCACATGATGTCTTAGTGGATTGATTATAAATTATAGAATACATTGTTCCTTATTTGATGTTAGTGTATATATTAAGTCTTTCCCATTTTTTGACCAAGCCACTCAAAAATAACCTCTAGTGTTGATTTAGATATGTATCACTGATTGTATGTCTCCTTAGTTTATATGCAGTTCTAATGTTAGTGTATTTTATGAATAGGAAAAAAAATTGGGACGAAAACCAACAGCTGCTGAACTTTACTTCGAGTGCCATGCAGATAGTGGTGGTCGATTTGTTAATTCTAATGCAGAAACAGTGTGGGTGAGTATTCTTACTTGATATATGTTAGCTATTGAGAAACAAGCTATTGTATTCTTTGTTTGTTGTATTGTTTATTTAAGAATCAAGCTATGTTTGATGGGTTGTGTACTCAGAGAACCAAGTCTGATGGATATTGTCTAATCTTTGCATTATTGTTTATAAATTATATGTAACTTACAATAGCTGTTGGTTGATGATTGGTATTTGAATTTCTTGGAATGATGGACATTGAAACGGGTCAAAATTGGAAATAGGTTGTAAATTACAGGATGTACAAATTAAAACGACGTAATTACCTAAATTTAAATTTAGGCTGTCCATATTTAGGGGAAGTGCTGCCAAAATTTTTAGTCAATATTTAACTTAATAATCTTATTTTCACCTCATATTTACTATATTGGAAATTAGTGTGCCTTTTCATTGCTTGTGAATTTAAAATATGTGCATATTTGCAATCATGTTTAGTCTTTGCTTGCACAGAAGTGAAATTTTAAATCTGCTCATATTTGCAATAATGTTAAGTACTTGTAACCTTTTTTTTTCAGAATAACTATAATAGTAAAAAAGCTGCAAATCTTGAATGTGAGACCGAGAATCATAAAACTGAAGATGAGTTGTTCCTTGAGGCTGCTGGTGGGTGGAATGACAAGGGAATATTATTTGGTTTGGGAGCTGCTGCTGACTCATATTATGAGAAACCAGTAACCAAAGAGAAGAGGGCAAAGAAATCAAGAAGAGAGTATGCAATGGAGCTGGAAAACAAATTTATTGATCTCGTTACGGAGAATGTGGAACAACAGAAAGAGCTTGATGCAACAAAAGAGAGCCTCGTCGAAACCCAAAAAAGTCTTGCCGAAACTCAAAACACTGTGAAGGCCCTTGAACAACAAGTGCAAATGCTTCTCCAATCTAAGAAAATCTCAAACTCTGCAACATCTACATCCTCTCCTACTGATGCATGATCATCAAGTGCAAATAACAAGGATCCTTTTTATATATTGCATGTAAAGTCTCTAATTATTACAATTGACATGCTTCTAATATAGGTCTTAGTCTCATGGTAGCATATTTTGGACCAAGTATATAGCATTGGGTATTAACTAAGTCTAAAAGGCTGCTTTTGTATATTTTGCTACTAACTCTAGCTTACATGTTCCCTTGTAAGTTACACTGTGAACTTTGCCCTTATGATTTAATGTATTAAATTTGTCTTTCTTTTCTTTCAAAAAATAAAATAAAAATAAATTTGTCTTTCTTTTTTAATATCATGTGACAAAAAAAAAAAAAAAAAAAACTGATATTTAATGGAAAAATACAAACAATATTGCTTATTAAAATTTTAATCCATTATTACACTTAGCGACGAATAATTTTATTTCCGTCTCAACACTAGCGACAAATTTACAACAGAATTGACAAATCCGTCGCTGCCATCAGCAACGGATTTAAAACTTCCGTTGCTGATTCCAGCGACGGATTTATCAATTATCAATTATCAATTTACAACAGAATTGACAAATCCGTCGCTGGAATTATCAATTCCGTTGCTGATTCCAGCGACGGATTTGACAAATCCGTTGCTGATTCCAGCGACAGAGCAAGTTATATCCGTTTCTAAGTCTTTGCAACGGATTCTACAACGGAAAATAAATTGTCGCTAAAACAGCTACGGATTACTTGTTTTCCGTTTCTAAGTCCATTTAGCGACAACATATTTACCAACAAACTGATTCCGTTGCTATATCTGTTGCTAGCTAAATTTGGCGACGGATTTTCTGAAACTAGCGACGGATTCCTCTTGTCGCTAAAAGGCTTGATTTTTGTAGTGCAATTTCTTTTGTAATTAAACATGATCAAACAACTATATATATATAGACATGATAAACAAGAAAATACATGATCTACAACTGGTATATCTCACGCAAAAATACACTATCAAACAGAGTATAAGTTTTTATCGAAACCGCAAACGAAAACCCAAATAACTAATCCTAGACGCATCTAATCTTATCTTAACCCAACCATGATTTCTAGAGTAATGGAATAATGCTAGTTACCTCGATAAACTTCCGATAACACACACGAAACTAGAAGAACTCAAAAAGAACTAGTCCTCTTGATGACCTTGAATACCTATATAAAACAAGATTGAAATAAGAAGACGTATGTATAACAAACCATACAAGAGGGGGGCGAAAAAGGGAAGGGTTTAACCCATTAAAGTTATTATTTTCACAGCCAAATTAAGAGGGAAAAATAAGATGATCCTTGCAATAATAAAACCCAGCAACAATCTCACAAAAATTGAGGAAGAAGGAGATGTATTATGGAGGTGAGAGATGGAAGAGTGCAAATACTTTTGTGAATAATTCCCACGGTAAATGGGAAAATAAACTGATGAGTTTTTGCTTAATAAGGGCAGCAAATATGATGGGTGTAGATACCCATTTGTGTCTCCCAAAACCAAACCCAGTGATAAGTACCTTTCACGTCGAATCATAATCGAATGAAGTGAAATTGTGGAAAGTCTAGTGTTGCGGATAGTTTTAACTTCTTTTCTTTTCTCTCTGTTTTTGAAAACCTATTTTAAGAAAACAGTCAATCCAGTTCGGTTGGTCCATGATATGGGTCTAATAGTAGTGTAGTTGGATGGGGTTTGAAAAGAGCTTTCCAACGATATATTATAAGCCCAATTCCGATGAATATTGAGAAAGTTATGGCAGATTACTGAACTAGGCCCGGTTTGAGCCTTATATGCGGCCCAATGATCTAGAGGAGGGCCTAATATGGATTTATCATTCCTAATGCAATTAGGAATGGTTTTAGTCTTCTAGATTCTTCTAGAAGGTTCTTTTCATTCCTAATTCAATTAGCATTGATATTTTGACTTTTGTTGACTTTTCAGAGTTTTAATTAAAATCAAAGAACATTTTTGAGGGAAAATACAATTTTATCCTCCTGTACGGCAATTTCTATTTGATTTTAAGAAAACGCGTGAATTTCTGAGTCAGCGCCAAACGCCAGCTGTAGCGCCTGACGCTATGCTTGGCGCCTGGCGCTAGCCTTAGCGTCTGGCGCCAAGGTCAGCGTTTGGCACCAACTTGGCCTTTTGCGTTAGATTGTAACCTGCATATCCATCCATGAACGAGAGAAGTGTCATGCTAGGGTTTGTTATGATGCCTTTTATTTTCTTTCTAATATTTATTCATGTTAGTATCATGTTAGGGCTATGTATTTGATTTTTATTGCTTAGTGACATACTAGGGTTTGTTATTAATCTTATTAATATCATTCCTAGGATCTTGCTATTATTATGCTTTAACATGATTATGATTATTTTTATGATTATTATGATTATTATTATGATTATTATTTTTATGATGATGATTATTATTATGTTGCTTGATATTTATTGTTATTTCTTGATCACACCTTTTTATGCATGTTTAAAGGGAATTAGTACTTGTAAACACGTTTAATAAGATAATTAATAATCTTGTTTAGGATTAATTTGATTATAATTCAAGTGATCGCCAATAATAGTTTTGTTTGTGCATTAATATTCAACCAACATAGATAAACAGGTTTAGGTTAATCCTATTGATTGTATGTTAGTCAGAAAGCGCACATGAGTACGATCAGAATAAAGTGGAGGACTATTATTAGGGCAGGTTCAATCTCTTTTAGGTTGGATTTGTACCTTCATCCCCGAAATACCAGTCATGGTTCAAGACCTATTGGAGTTGACGATCTCTTGGATCGTTAAGGGGTGTAACCTTCACCCTGTGAACGGTTTACAAGTTCCTAAAAAACTTGTTGGCGACCCTTTTGCTCTATCTTCTTTCCCTTTGGACGCCACCGTATTTTAGTGTATGATCACAGTGGGGTTCAAGTTAGGGGATTAATTCTTGAAATATTACCGACAATTTTTGGCGACTCCACTGGGGAGGATTTTTATTTTAATTCCTGAATTTGTTTCGGCAATGATTTAGAATGAGTGGATGAGACTCGAAACGTTCTAAGTTTTTCATATGCGTAATTTTGATTAACATTATTGTCATATGCATAAAAAAGATCTGATTGGAAAGACCATCCGTAATGAGTTAAAACATAGGATTTTATACGTAGGAAATTTGAGAAATAATTTTCACAACTAGGACCGAAATAACACTGCGCGAAAATTGGAAAATTTTATCGAGCACAGAAAGCTACTGAGTCATGTAGGAATTAGCGTCAGTGAACAGAATATTAGCGCCAGACTTTTAACTGTAGCGCCAGACGACAGTTCTGTCGCCAGGCGCTACAGCTAAAATCCGGCGCCAATCTCTGTTTGCTGGCGCCAAATTCTTCCAATACCGAGCCACAAATATGCGTTCTAATTTCGACTAGTTTTTCATATTGTTTGCTCGATCCTACTTCCTGATTGATATGTGTTCTACATATGGACATAACCCCCTGGGAATTCATGCTCCATCTACCTGATTGAACGCTCTGAGCAACAAAGGGTACATCCGAGAATGTTTAATTCACCAAACCATGGAAGCGAGTTTTTCTAAACTCGCGGTGTCCCATCCACTCGCGCCAACCCTTCACGGCTAGGCTTTCGCGCGGCGCATCTGGACAATTAACCATGGACCCTTTATTGATTAAACCATATCCCGAACTTTAGAGAACTAGAGTCATGGTTAGGTTGCAAACTCATTGCATCATATTGTGCCTACTTGACTAATTGTGCATTATTTGTTGTGCATATACTATGTTTTCTTAACCGTTTGTTTGACTTGTGTTGAGATTAAATAAATTAATGACTTAAAGAACTTTTCCTAATTAATTAATTAATTAATTAATTTGAATAAATAAAGTCTAATATTTTAATCAGAATTGACCTAGTACGACTTTAGGCATACCCCTGTTCATTAATAACACCGAAAACAGTCTCAGATTGAAGCTCCAGTATTGGCCCCAAAATCTGAATTGTAGCGCCACTCGGTGGAGTGCGACGCCTGGCGACAACTTTGTCGTCTGGCGCTACACTACAAAGAGAGGCGCCAGTCCTGTCGTTTTGACGACAGTTCGGATTATTGATCGAGTCATCATCTAGTGTCTAATTAACCAGTTTGCTAATTAATTCGGTTAATTTTCGCTGTCAATAACACTTGGTTGAGTCATTAATTGAGTTTAGGCACTAAGTCCCATGGTCTTACACAAGAGTCCAAACATGTCACTTACACTCAACGCACACACCAATACACACACTTTGACCATGTCTAAGAGAGTCTTGTATGTGCGTTTTTTCCGTCATTTTTTTTAGGGGGGTAAGTCGGATATTAATACTCCAATATAAAAACTATACTTATTCCCTAAAAAAATACATACATTATTTTTTCCTAAAATATATGCACCCATTTTTATTTTTTTTAATTTTTTCCTCTTTAAAAACCATAAAGTCAAGTCGATTCGAGTCAAGTAATTAAAACGCAAATTGGTTTAAATTACAGCGCGTGGTCAAGAAAGGAAGGACGGTTAATCAAAGACAACCTTTTCGTACAAGTCCAACTTTTCGACAAACCCATAGCTCGTAAGAGGAAAGCTAGGACAATAATGGCAACACAAGAAGAAGTCAATGAGCTTAGGAACCAACTGGTTACCGTGACTGAGGCACTAAAGCTCCTCACACTTAAGATCGATGATCCTGTGAAGCAACAACAGATGGACCTCATGCAAGAGAGTCTAAGCAAGCTATCTAGCGACTACAAGTTTCAAGGGATTACTTCACAAGGGGTCTCGGTGGACAAAGATCTTCTTCCTCAGAAGTTCAATGCCAACGACATCTCGAAATTCAAACCGATAACCCTTATTTTCATTTAAGAGCCTTCGAGACAATAATGAGTATTAAGGGTATCGATAAGAAGGTGTTTCCCTCTCTGTTCTCACTATCCCTCGAGACTGTTTGCTAACAATGGTTCTTTTCTCTCGAGAAAGAAAAGACCTCCACCTGGGAGTCCATAGAAAACGCTTTCGTTGATAGATACAAGTGCAACATTCAAGTTGAGACTGATCATAGGGAGCTTGAAATCCTCAAGCAGAAAGAAAACGAAGTCTTCACCTCCTTCTTTAATAAATGGAGAGAAACCTCAGCTAAGATGATCGAGGTGCCAAGTGAAAAAGAGTCTGTAAGGTTGTTCATCAAAAACCTTCAAGAAAAGTATTCCAAG